CATATAGATGGATCTTGTTTTTTCATCCATTCAGCCACCTTGTCTCTCATGCTTGGAGCATTTAGTCCAATTATATTTAAAATAATTATTGATAGGTATGTACTTACTGACATTTTGTTAGTTGTTTTTCTAGTTCTTCTCTTGAGCTCTTTCCTTTTGGTTTACTGGTGTTCGTTAGTGTTTTGTTTGGGTTCATTTTATTTTATGTGGGTTTAAAAAAATTTTTTTCTTGGCTTGTGGTTACCATGAGGTGTGTATATATCCATCTGTATCTGTTGCAGTTTATTTCAACTGGCAGGTTTTGAGTTCAAACACATTATAAAAGCACTGTATTTTCACTCCTCCTTCACACTTTGTGTTTTTGATGTGATATCTTATATTTTTTTGTTTTGTGTATCCCCAGACTATTTATTATAGTTATACTTAATTTTGCTATTTCTGTCTTTTAACCTCCTCCTTGGCTTTTTAAGTTGCTAATTTACTGTGTTAACTCTATATTTGCCTTTATCTGTAAGATTTTTTTCCATTTTTGTATCTTCTTGTTTCTTTCCTACATAAAGAAAACCCTTTAACATTTCTTGTACTATGTTTTAGTGGTGAAGAACTCCTTTAGTTTTTGCTTTTCAGAAAAATTAAGTGATTTTCTCAAGCTCACAAAGTTTACATAAGTGATAGAGCTGGAGGTTAGACCCCCAGAACCTGTCTTCTACTGTCTATATTGCTTTCAAAGCTATTTTCTGTATTTAAAATAAGGGAATGTAGCTAATTTGGTACTTTCTACTAATCAAAACATACTCCTAAACAATAGCTCATTTAACCTCATAATTTTTATGTCAGGAAGATAAGCAGGGCAATTTTTTCTACCCATTTAACAATTTACGATTTTGAGGTACAGACTTTATGAGACCCCACAGCTAGAAAATGTCAGAGCATGTAAAAAAAAACAACTCTGGCCTTCTTAACTATGAAACACTAGGTAATAACTGTGAAAGGAGCATCTTTGCTTTGTTTGGTAAATTGAACAGTTTCTGTATAGTAAAGGTAGAAGAGAGTGGTGATCTACCCCCTCAAGAACTGAGTTTTACTCACATTGAATAATAAATAGCTTTACTTATATTACAAATTGTAGCTGCAAAATAATGCACCAGACACAAATAAAACATATAAGGTTTAGAACTGAAAAATAACTTAGAAGTGTTTTTACATCTCTAACTTTATGGTTGTGGAAACAAACCTACCTAAAGATTAATATTGTGCTATTTGATATTAGCACTTGGTCTAGAAAGTCTAGAAAGCTGGTCGTTCCCAAGCACTTGCTCCCAATCTGAGTTTCCTCTATTCAGAGCATAAAGATTACCCCCTGCCAACCCCCACCAAATTATTACACTAAAACAACTTTTCTGTTTGCTCCTGGAGACCAAGGAAGGTTTTATATTGTCGAGAATGTTCTCAGATTGAAGTAGTGACAAGAACACATGTGTGTTTGTATGATAGAGATATAGATAGGGAGGTGATATGAATATAGGTTATTAATATTTTCAACTGGAGTAAAAAAAAAATGCAAACACAGATTTCCTGTTGCATTGCATTGCAAGCTGTTGCTCCTCAAGCTCTTCAGAATATTGCAGGGAAAAATTATTTTCAATATTTTTTCTTTACCCTGCTGAGGAATAGTTAAGAGTGGCCAGCAGATGACACTGTTGTCAGTTGCAAGTCATTTTTCCTATTTCAAATAAAGACAAATCATTACAGAGAAAAAAATGTGGCAAGTAAAGTGTAATAAAAATAATCATGTTATCTGAAAAAAAAAAGTGACAAAACTAATGCACAATTGAATCTTGTTTACCTTTAAGCAAAACATTTAATTAGATAGTTGGCAACTAAAAGACAAGCTAAATTATCAGACAAATTAACAAAAGTGAGTCATCTATGTTTAAAAATAATAATGTTTACAAATTAGAATGTTGAATGATAGCTGTACTTAATAGCAAAAATATATCCTATCCTGATGAGAGCCACCAAGGATTAATTCTATTCTTTTTCATTTACTGTGGCAACATAAAACTATTTATCAGAACCATACTTAATTATGAATGAGTTATCACTGCAAAATTTGTTTCAATCTTCTGTTCTTATCAGTGTTTGTAGGTTTTAAATTTTTAAAAAAGAAATTTAAAACCTACAAATTAAAGTAGACCTACAAAACTAACTCCTTGGGGAAAAGTGTGCATGGTGACTATTGTTCACTTCTAGTCTGACCTCACAAATTCACTCTGGGCATGATTGAACTCTCCAGGAATACCTGTGTCTTCCTGAACATATTCTTTGGATGGCTTTTTTTTTTTTTTAAATCTATCCCACCAAATATCTGTAAATTATAGTTCATATAGATGTTTTCATATATTTTCTTGTGGAAGTGAATGCATAAGTATTTAAATTTATTCACAATAAAATATTAAATCTATACTGTATAGATTTGATAGTTTCTGTGAGAAATTCACAATAAAATATAGGGTGTCCCCCAAAAACGTATAATCATAAAGCCAGTGCTTATTTCATTTTCAAAATGTAATAGGATTACAGACACCCTGTAGCTTTATTCGTTTCTGTCATTAAGCAAAGAATACAGCTGAGTGAAAAGAAAGGCTTTATGTCTGGACAGATGTACACTGTGCTAAAAAGTTATTGCCATTACATGAAATGATCTTTATAATGGTGATATCTTTAAAATAGTGACATTTCATAAAGTTGTTGTAAAGATTAAATTACACAAGGATGTAAAGTGTCTTTCAATATCTGGCATAACTAAGCAGGGGATCATTTTTATTCAAAGATGGGTGGTCAAAATCCTAATCACTTACAAAGTAGAAAGCAATGTGATATAAGAAAGGAAAACAATACATGAAGAATTAAAAATAAAATATTCTAAACAGAATGGTACAGGAAATATTTATGGAGGAGGTCACAACGAGCTAAGAATTGAGAGTAATTCAAGCACTTATAATGCAGAATACTGTGAGACCCTTGTATTTAAGGTTGAGGAAGAATGGGATGTGAGAGAGAAGAATTAACCATAGCACTCGCCCCATCATCATTGCTACCACAGCTTATCCAGAATAGTGTCTCAGAGTCTGCTTAGAAATGAAGTGGTGAAATGTCTGAATTCCATAACTGCACATAATGTGTATACACATAAATGTGTATGTCTAAATGCATATTAAAACAGAAAGGGCGAATGATATAGCAAATGTGACAAAATGTTAAAAATTTCTGATTTCAGCTAATGGACATATATGGTAGCTATTTGTACTATTCCTGCTAATTTTTTGTGAGTTTTAAATTATGTCAAAATGTATAGATAAAGTTTAAAAATGTGACTGTGAATTAAGGACATTCTGATAAATGAAAACTGGATTTTTGCCAGTGGACTCATATTATAAGAAATAATAGAAACTCGGATCTAAAGTAAAAATAAAGAGCAGGACATTATAAATATGTGGGTATATTAAAGGATAATTTTATAAGACACTGGCCAAACAAATATATATGAAAATATATTTGGAGTTTATAACATTTGAGGTACATTATGATAGGTTAGGGGTATACATAGGAATCCCTAGGGCAAAGAACTATACATAAAATATATGTACAGATGGTATATTTTCTTGCCCCATTGACTAAGATTTGGTTATATTATTTAATTTAGCCAATTAACTATGAGTAAACAGAGGTACTTCTTGTATGAACAGAAGCTTTTAAAGGCATTGCAAGTTTCTGTGGGCCTCTTGCCCATGTACTCTTTGCCAACAGAGGGGTGAACACCAGACAGCTCTTTCCATCCCAACTGCAGAAATCTGAATAAACAATTCCTTAAAATTTCTGAAGTAATTTGACATTTATAGACACTTGTTGGTAAAGCATTCTTTAAAAAAATTTTTTTCTTTATTGATTTTAGAGAGAGGGAGAGAGAGATAGAAACATAGATGAGTAAGAACATCGATTGGCCACCTCCTGTATGACCCCCACTGGGGTTCGGGCCCACAAACCAGGCAAATGCCCTGACCGGGAATCGAACTGGTAACCTCTCAGTGCATGGGTCGATGCTCAACCACTGAGCCACCTTGCCAGCCGGGCAAGGATTCTTTTTTTTTTTTTAGAGAAGGAAAATGAAAACATGGTGTTAATATATCACACAAATATATTTATTTAAATGTTTATAAATTTAAAGATTTTAATTATGAATGAAAACATTTCTGGCAAGTGTTACTCATTTCATATTAATGTTTGGAACTGGTTTAAGGCACATAGTGCAGAATACTTTATTTCTGATACAGAGATTCCCTAGATGTTTGGGGAAAAAACTTTGTGGGTAAAATTAATATACTGTTATTTACTGGCAAAATTCTCTTAGTAGATTCAATTTTGGTTTACAGAGTAGGTTTCCATAGAAAAATATTGTCTGTGATTAATTTAAAACCACATTCTATGATACACAATTATTCACCTGAAAAAAAAAACTCAGTACCTGAGAATTCGTCCATGAATAGTTGAAGCCTTGGATATAAGATAACTTGAACATTTCTAATAAAAAATTTGCACATGTAAAAATAATTTTATTTATTGAATCTTCAAAATTCAATAACTTTCACTTCTCTATTTGATTAATGAAATACAATACAAACCTTTGAGAAAATAGACTTTTAAGAATATGTAGATATATACATATGTAAGAGTTATAAAGTCAGTGATCATACGTTATAAAAAAACAACGTATTGCTCTTATAAGTACAATTAAATTAGAGGTAGGTGTTTTAAGTCAAATTCTATATTATATCTTCTTTTGTATTATACCCACAAAAGTTCTTATTTAGTATTTAACCCAAGCACACATTTTTAGGATTTTAAAAATTTGAAGCATCATAATCCACAATTAAAAATTAAAGAAAACATAAAACAAGGTATCTATGCTGTATCAGTAAGTATAATGGCTATGTACTTTTTTGAAGTAACTATGGATTTACTATTCACCTGACATGAAATGTTTATGGTAGTTTTAAATAAGTTCATTTTCCTAATCTTTACTTGCTCTACTTTAACAAGTAGAATAAACATTTCATAAACATTGTACAGTGGGATACTGAGTAGAGATTTACATGTGTGTTTATAGCTGTAACTGTGGTCCAGTCCAAGTTGTTAACTGCAACATTTTCTTGGTATAATTCATTCAAACATCCCTATATACTCTACCATAAATTATGTCTTTTAAAAAAAATATCCTGACTAGAGTCAGATATCTGTTTTTATTTTGAAGGCCTTGAAAAACATAAGCGGGGATTTGACTCCCCGATGAGCACCCTTAAAAAAGGCACAGACACTTGGGACATGGAAATCTCAGGAAGACTAAAGAAATGAGCACCGGTATTTGCAGGTTCCAAAGAACAGCTCCTCTTTGGGACATACTTCTCACTTATGAATGTTCATATTACTTGAATTGGGAGACCCGTAGTCAGGTGAGGAACACACTTTCCACAAAACCCTCCACATCTGCCGTAGACTTTGGTTCCATCCTGAAAATAGGAGAGACAGAGATATAGGAGAATCTCATACAAGCTGGTGCACACACAAGACAGAAAAAGCAAATGCTTTGAATTACATGGCTGAAGTAATTAGCCAAGGTTTTCTAGAACAATTACATTTGAGGTCAAAGATCATACCCTTTCAGGGTTGGTGGTTAGAGAATCTGAGATTTATGTTGGCTTCTTAATGATTATACGTCACACTATAATTTAGATAGTTCATATCAATCCACATTATTTTTCATCCAAGTATGTATTTGCTTTAGTAAGTTTATTAAGATGTTCACAGACTAAATAAAAGATATGCAAACTTGACTTCATACAAGTCACATTCTCCAGCCCACTGACCTCAAGCATTGCGTTGGAGCATTAGCAACACAGCCTGAAGAAGAGGATGAAAGGGGAAAATTGGACTGAAAGTAGTAATTACAGTTAGAAAATAACTAAAAAGGAAGATTCTTTTTTTAAAGAAAAGCAGAGCCGTTCATGGAGGAATGATGGTCAGAGGGGGTAAAAGGCGTGGTCATGGTAAGAGATGTTCTTTCTGGACTGCCTTCCATCTTTTAGGTCCAAAAGTCAGAGGACTGAAAACATTTTGATAGGAGGAGGCAATAATAGTTTGAACTCCTGCAGCTTTTGGAAAGCGAAGGTTATTCTGTTGTTGTTTTTGTGGTTTTTCTTTTAACCTGAAGAGGGAGGTTTCCCAGACCATTTTGGGATGAATGTTTGGAGATCAGGGGCTTTTGAAGTTGACTTTTCTTTTGGGATTTTTAACTCTGGAGAATCTGAGTAAGCAGAAAAGAAGGGAATGGCAGTAAAAATTCCAATTTACATATACTCCTAGCCCAGATTGTTTAAGTAAAAACCTAATCTTGATTGAATTTACTGGCAAATGAAAACACGTTTGCCTTCCCATAAATATATTTGGGTTTCAGTTTTACATCAGATTTCAGGAAAAGCGTTCACGTGCAACATTTTGATTAAGGTAGAAAGTCTCAGTTAAGTAATCGTTAGAATAGAACTTAAATAGAAGCAAAAGGAAATGATTGTATGTGATAGTCATATCTACTGGTGATGGCAGCAAGTTCAGTCTTCATATTAACCAAAAGATATCTAAAAGCTGGAAAAATAAGGTCAGAATACTTCACTGAGCTCTATATTTATACCTACTCAGAATGTACCCCCGTTCTGCTACCAAAATGGATTAGACCTAAATATGTTAAATATTTAAAAATAAAGATCCATTTGTTTTAAAAGCCTCTGCTTACCCATATTCAAAACACAAATTTAATTATTTAATTATTAATTCAGATAATTGTGGTCTTCAGACATAGAATGTTTTAAACTTGATAGTATCAGAAAATTAAACTTTATTTACAAATATTCATATAAATAGCATAATAGAAGTCATTTAAAATTTTTTCTTTATTGATTTTGGAGAGAGAGACAGAAACATTGATTGGCTGCCTCCTGCATGTCCCCCAACCAAGAATCAAAGCAGCGACCTCTTGGTGCATGGGTCGACACAACAGAAGTCATTTTTATCAAAAGAAAACAACCATAAAATAGAGCGGGCAGGCGCTATTGGTGATGCTGATTTATGTACAATGCAAGTGAGAAGAGTTATAATGTAGATCCTGATTTGCTCTATAAAGTCATGCTAAGACATGGCAACTCTTAGTAGGAGCCACCTTATAAAGTATGTGAAGTACGTGTGCTAGCACACCATACCAGCAGCAAAATTAAGTGGGTTCTATTTTAGGAAATACACAGGGTGGGCCAAAAGAAGTTTTACAGTTGTGAGTACACAAAACATAGAGGTTATTCTTGCATTATTTTCCATATGAACAACTGTAAACCTACTTTTGGCCCACCTGGTATATGTTAGAGGTAAAAGCAAATAACATTGTTTTCTAGATAGAGGAAAATATGTGTAAAACCATAAAAATACTCATAATTCTCAAAGAACATACTATAAGAGGGTCTTTTGTTAAATGACAAATGGCTTTAGCACCATCCTATCATAAATCAAAGCAGGGAGGTAAATAAACCAAAGATTTACCTCTCACTTTGAAATATTAAAGCCTACAAACTGTTGATAATTAACTATAGAGTTAAAAGCATTACCTCTTTCTGAAGTACCTGCATTTCAAGTCATTAGCCCCAAATGGGAGCTAGATACAATCTATAAGCCCTGGCATGTGATATTTCATGTTTAGATATCTGCAGCACGTACAATGTATATAAAACCTACATATGCACATAAATAAAAATGAACCCAATTCCATAATATGCAATAACTCACTAACCTCATATAACTCTAAATTTAGAAGGAGGCCTTTTAATGCAAGTTCACCATACAGAAGTATTTCAAAGAGGCCTTTTGGTCCAGCAGGACTTACTTGTGACCTGTGTATGACGACAGAGGCGTAACTGCCCTGAGCAAGCCACTTCGCAGTGCCGGATATCTTCATCCCGGTGCCTGCCAAGTTAATGCTGAACTGTCCCTGGATGCAAACAGAAATAGATGGAATTTATGAAATATTCAAGAATCCTCTTGGTCGGATACACCTGAATGTGAGTTATATAAGAAAGGACTCAAATTGCTTTTTAGGGGTCTTCCTTTATAAAATGAGAGAATATCGATACAACCTTGCTCTAAAGAAAATGAACCAGCTACAATTGTTTAAAATTGATTACGCATAAGTCTTCTCATACAAGAGACAAGTAAATTAACACCACCTAACGTTGTTTGTGCAAAAGTGATTCCGTGTACCCCTCGGAGTCTGAGACTTGACAGCGAGAGCCAGCACCCCTGTAGCAGCAGGTGAGCCCTGACACGGGCTGTTCACAGGGACAGACACCAGGCTTGAATATCTCTCCAGTTTCTGTGTCTGACCTGTCTGCTGACTTCCCTGATGAGTTACACCTGTTTGATGCATTTTCTAGAATCTTGTTTCTTTTGTGTGGTGGGTTAGAAAATCATTCTTAACACCAAACAACTGGACATGGTATTACTGTCCCAGCTCTCCTGTCCTTTCTAAGTACCTAAAGTGGATGTGATTGTGATGCCACAGGCTTTACACACATGGTGTGTGAGCCCCCTAGTGGCTTTATGATCTAATTATTTTCAAGACAACCACCTGAGGTCAAAACATTTCGGACTATCTCCATTAAAATTAAACTTGAAATATCTTGACTGAGAAAAAAGGGGTCAAATTTGTGTCTCATTTACACGGTATTGCAATACAGAATTGTATGTTGAAAAATGGAAGTGCCACCCTGGCCGGTTTGGCTCAGCAGTTAGAGCATCGGCCTGCAGAACAGTGAGTCCCAGGTTCAATTCCAGTCAAGGGCACGTACTTTAGTTGCGGTTGTGCGGGTGGCAACTAATTGATGTGTCTCTCTCTCATCGACGTTCCTCTCTCTTGCCCACTCTGTCTGAAGATAAATGTATATCCTTGGGTGAGGATTAAAAAAAAAGCAGAAGTGCTTAATGCTAATATGTATTATCTACTGCCAATGTTCAATATACACAGATAAGGATAAGATATTCTCCATCACAACACCCTATGGCAACACTCATGAATCTTTAGCAAGAATAATACACTGGGGGTTATATTATGTGAATGAAAATATTACCATGTCATGAAAGCAAAGGCTAAATGTATTTTAAATGTATTTATAATATGACTTTTACTATTGTTAAAAACAATTACATATCAATTTAGATTTCTGAGCAATCCATATATTTCTTATTTAAAACCAAAATAGATATTCAAATATATCTTAATACAATAAGAGCATATGGAGAATTTTCCCCATAATGGAAACAATTTGTTTCAGATAAATTCCAAAGAAAAATTTCTTATTACATCTATCAGTTGCTTATGAAATTTAGAATAAATGACCTGTATGTTTGCTTCATTGCTGTATTCTCAGAGCCCCAAGGAGGGACTAGTTTGATACTCAGCAAGTGTTTTGGATGGATAAATTGAAAAAGTAAATACATACACCTCTAAACCCTTCATATTCCATAATGGAACTAATTCTAAGGATACATTTGATTAGTTGATACTTAGTCAAGTTGATACAGGTTTTGTACTGTATACCTCCATCTGATGTTAACTAATACATAGGCTTCTCACCAAATAACATTTCTCGGACATATATTCAGTGATGTAGGTTTCCTATGACCAGCCACTTATTGATTGTTCTGATTGGGCCATGCAGTGTTTTCAATATCTACTTTTCACCTCCCTGTACAAGGTTTCTTGGAAGCATTCCAATATAGATGCACTGGAAGTAAAAGGAATAAAGCTGGCCGACCACTGAGAGACTTAGGTTATCTTTAGCACAATCTGTTGGGTCTAGAAATAGCTGTTTCTCCATTTCTCTGGACTAATTTTCATGAATTTTGTGTATGCCCTTGTTAAAAAGCAATCTAATACAATCTCGAAGAAATGGCAAAGCAATACATTTATAATTTAGGGTACTGTTAGAGGTGAAAAGACATTTTACTCATTCAAAACTGAGTAGCCGGCACGGTGTGCAAGTACCGTGGGAGTACGACACAGATCTCTCCGCAGATCTGATGAGTGAAAAACATCGCTGGTCGCCAGAGGCAGGGGTCATCAAAAGATACAAACTTCTGCCCTGGCCAATTTTCTCAGTGGTTAGAGTATCGGCCTGTGGTCCAGAGAGACCCGGGTTTGGTTTCTGCTAAGGGCACATACCTTGGTTGAAGTTTGTCCCCTGTCCCGGTTGGGTTATGCGGGAGGCAGCCACTCCATGTGTCCCTTTCACGTCGATGTTTCTCTCTCTTCCTCTCTCTCCCTCCCACTCTATCTGAACAAAAAATGGAAAAATGTCCTCGGGTGAAGATAAAACAAACAAAGAAACAAACAAACAAAAAAAGATACAAACTTCTAATTATAAGATAAATAAATTCTGAGGATTTAATGTTCATTCAGTATGACGATGACTGTAGTTAACAGTACTGTAGTGTATATTTGAAAGTTGCTAAGAGAATAGATCTTAAAAAGTTCTCATCATATGATAAAAGATTTTGTATCTATGTGAGGTGATAAATGTTAATTAAACATATTGTAGTAATCATTTTGCAATGTATACATAATCAAATCATGCTGTACACCTTAACCTTACAAAGCCATATGGCAATTATATTTCAGTAAAACTGGAGAAAAATAAATCTGATAAGTGAAATTACATTACATTTATTTACACAGATATGCTATGTAGAGAATTATAGGTGCCATGAGAAGGATACTGGCACATTCCTATGGGACTTCAGAAGTAATAAGTGATTGAAGAAATGTATTAAGTAATTACTTCCATTCCAAATACTTCATTTAAGATAAAAATATAAATTTCCCTAAACTTAATCTTGAAAAATTAGTTCAACATAGGAACTTCTTTAAAAAATGCTTTTTAAAAGTAGTATAAAGTTTACCTCTTCTTTTATTCTCAACATTTTTTAGAAGAGGCCACTATAAGAAGGAAAATTCTTAACATTGTTAAAATGTTCATACTACCCAAAGCAATCAATAGATTCAATGCAATCCCTACCAAAATAGCAATGGCATTTTTTTTCCCCCACAAAACTAGAACAAGTAAACCTAAAATTTATATGGAACCACAAAAGACCTTGAATAACATTGGGAGATATCATGCTACCTGATATCAAACTATACTCCAAGGATACAGTAATCAAAACAGAATGTCTCTGGCATAAAAACAGACACATAGATCAGTGGAAAAGAATAGAGAGCCTGGAAGTAAACCCATACCTATATGGGCAATTAATCTATGACGAAAGAGGCAAAATATACAATGTGATAAAGACAGTCTTTTTAATAAATGGTATCGGGGAAACTGGATCATTTTCTTACACCATATACAAGAATAAACTCAAAATGAATAAAAGACTTAAATGTAAAATCTGAAATCATAAAACCCCAGATGAAAATACAGGCAGTAAATTCTTTGACACTGTTCTTAGCAATATCTCTTAGGAAAAATCTCTACAGCAAGGGAAACAAAAGAAAAGAAATGGGACTACATGAAACTAAAAAATTTTGCATTAATAAAACAAAAAGCCTACTGAATGAGAGAAGATAATTCACCAATGATACATCTGATAGGGGGTTAATATCCAAGATAAATAACAAATTCATACAACTTAACACCAAAACCCATAAATAATCCTATTAAAATGGGCAGAAGAACTGAATAGACATCTTTCCAAAGAGGACATACAGATGACCAATAGACATATGAAAAAATGTTCAACTTTACTAAGCATCAAGCCAATGCAAATTAAAACCACGATATCACCTCACATCTGTCAGAATGGCTACCATCAATAAAACAACAGATAAGTGTTGGTGAGGGTGTAAAGAAAAGGGAGCCCTTGTGCACTATTGGTGGGATTGTAAATTGATGCAGCCATCGTGGAAAACAGCATGAAATTTCCTCAAAAAGTTAAAAATAGAACTACCATATGACTCAGCAATTCCACTCTGTGTATTTATCTAAAGAAATCCAAAACACTAATTCAAAAAGATATATGCACCCCTAAGTTCACTGTAGCATTATTTACAGTAGTCAAGATAATGGAAGTAACCCAAGTGTCCATTGGTAGATGAATGGATAAAAATGAGTTGGTGTGTGTGTGTGTGTATATATATATATATAGATATATATATATATACACACACACAATGAAATATTAGTTGGTCATAAAAAAGGAAATCTTGTCATTTATAACAATGTCGACGGACCTAGAAGAATAAGCGGAGTAAGTCAGACAAAGACAAATGCCATATGATTTCACCTATATGTGGAATCTAAGAAAACACACACACACACACACACACTCATAGAAACAGAACAAATTGATGGTTACCAGGTGGGAGGGGGATTGGAAGGATTGGTAAAAAAAGGTGAAGGAATTAAGAAGTATAAAGGGCCAGTTATAAAAACAGTCACAGGGATGTAAAGTACAGCATAGGGAAAAAGTAATAGTGTAAATACTAGGTGTGGTGTCAGATGATAACGAGACTTACTGGTGATCACAATGTAAGTTTTTATAAACATCTAATCGCTATGTTATACACCTGAAACTGATATAATAGTATACATTGACTATGGTGATTTAAAATTTAAATTTTAAAAAGAAGTCAAATTCTAATAGCCAATTGAAAAGAACCAAGAATTTAAGAAAATGAAGTATTTTCTTTTGAGTCATTGGCTGCATCAAAGAAGTAGTTACGGATATAAGATAGAGGAGAAACACAGGTAGATGCAAGTTTTAATGTTCTGTTTCTTTGACTTGTTGGTTCATGTGTGCTCATTATATAATTCTGTTTTACAATTTTAAAATGTGTTGTACTTTATTATAAATAAGATCTAGACCTATAGACCTAATGTATATAATTTTAAGTGTTTATTTAAAAAGACCAAAAAATAGCTACACAAAGTTTTT